TTCTTGGGGACAGTGACTTCTTTTTTGCAAAGAAATACATTTTGTTACCAAGTATAGAATACAAGGCCACGTTATATGCGAGCTCTCGCGGCTATGTTACTGAAATACGCGCGTGAATTTTCACGTTATCTGATCACTAGCCACACTCGGGCTTCAAAATCGGAACAAAGTTGTAAGACAACCAAAACGTAAACATAAATCCAAACTTGTGTTAAGTAAAATAAAGTCCACAACAGCTACTTTTTAGCGTAACTTTTCTTTCCTGTAAATGGCAGGCGATAAAAGAAGAACCATTTCTACGTACTTATCAGAAACAACAACAAAAAGCTATCTCCTTGATCTAGCAGGGCAGCTTAGGTCACTTTCCTTTGATAAATAAACGTCTTTTACCCCAGTTCGAAGAAAATATATTATTTTTCGCATCTTTGTAGCGTGTTACGACAAAAAACCCTTTTCGTTGCACCTTACTCAAGATGGTGTGGCATCTTTTGCCACGCGTTCCCTTTAAAAGCCCAATTTCGAGCAAATTACCACATAAAACAAAAGTGGAAAAAAATGCCGTTTTTGTCTCGCCATTTTAAAACACGCAAACCTAGGGAAATGAAATGCTATTTTTTATAACCACCTCCTTAGGTGCAAAAAGTGCACCACGTCTCACCCTGTTTAATAATCGGGCACCACGGCTATAGAGGTATGAAGGACTCAGACAACCAGTAGCAAAAATGTCGAGACACTCTCACGAAAAAACAACCTGTCTTGCTTCAAATCGCTGCTTTTCACAAGTCTGTGAGATTTAAGCAATAGAAAACGTTTTCCCGTGTTTGCATAGCCTGATATAAACCCGAGAGGAGTTGGGAGAATTCGAGACAGTTATGCAAACCCGAGACGAAGTCGAGGGTTTGCATAACTGTCGAGAATTCTCCCAACGCGTCGAGTGTTTATATCAGGCTATGCAAACACAGGAAAAATGTTTTCTATTGCTTTTATAAAATAACTTTCCCAAGAAAAAAAGCAAAACTCTTTGTATGGCACTGATTAAACGAGAAATTCTTACCAGTCGCAAAATCTTGTCCACGAAGTCTTGCACGCGTAATCAGTTCTTGTTTTGCAAAAAGATGCTTTGCAAAATACGGATTTTTCTTGTACTTTAGTTTAGGTTTTAACGCGTAGTCTCATTCTCTTCCACTCGCTCGCATTTACCCACCTACCTCTTCTTCGTTTGGGTTTGGGCGTTGGAGTTTTATTGTCAATGTAGTTTCGGCCTCTTTGATTACGTGACAATAAACTCTTTGTTGCCAAACTCGTTGTGGTCTGTGGTTAAATGCGATCGATTTCGCCATATGGGACTTGGTTGTGTGTCTATCAACACATTCTTCAAATATCAACGGGTAAGTCTTGTCTCATTTGTATTCTATGATAATACCCCCATTTTATTGATTCTGAGCCTTATTTACATTTTTCAATTAATTTTATTATTGTAAAATGATTGCTTGTATTGCAGTCAGTAAAACTACAGAAAGGGATTTTTGACGATAAACTGATTGTGCAGGTCTGACAAGTGCATTTCCTTCTTGGACTTGAAATAACCGAAATAATTAGGTCTGAATTTATATTTATTTAAACTTAGGGGCTTTTTTCGCTGGGCATATTTGGAAGAAAGTTTGCATTCCACAATGGGTTAGACATTACAATAAAACTGTTTAAAACACTAAGAAAACAGCCTAAAACAGCTTACCATTAACAATCCATGGGCTCCTATTAGTACGAGGATATTTATGTTTGAGAGTTTGAGGGGGCTTATTATTGGGATTTTATGCTATTACAGTATAAATAATGAAGTTTACTTTTTTTATCATTTTAGACCAAACTCTTCCCTTCAATCTACCTGTACTGGCAAAGATACCAAGCTCAGGTGCTCGTAAAGCTAAAGGCCATTCAAGATGGCATTATTATTGCAGGAGATGGTCGCCATGATAGCATGGGACATAGTGCAAAATTTGGTGCCTATACAATCTTCTGCTGCACTGTTCCCATGATTATTCATTTTTCTCTGGTTCAGGTTAGATATATATTGTTATCATTATTACTTCTGAGTGATGCACCTACAGTGTAGCTCCCTGCAATGTCACTTAGAAATACATTATACTTTATATAGAGTTCATAATGTATGTACACTACTCTTTTATTCTCAGATGCACTTTTTTAACTTACTAATTGACCTTACCAATAATTAAATTTTCATTGGAGACATCAAACTGGTCTTTCCGTTTTATTTATATTCATCATTTTTTTATAGAGGAATGAAGCTGGAAATAGTACAGGGATGGAATTTATGGCATTTCAACATTGCATGGACTTCTTGCTGGCTTATGGCCTTCTGATCACCACATTCATTTCAGACAGACATTCCACTATAGCCAGCCACATGAAAAATGTTCTTACGAATATTGTTCACTACTTCGACATCTGGCATCTAAAGAAGAGTAAGGATATACCAGTCTTCACTATCATTGTAGATTGTATTATATTTTTGTAAACTTCTTGTCTGTTCCAAACATTATGCATCAATCAATTCCAGCTGCAACCATCGCCCCCCTCCCTCCTGGGGTAACTGTAGGGCATTTGCACACACTGTCAATCCTGGGGGTCAGGCATTAGCCTAAACCAGTGCGAGAGGCCTGGATACTGACTGATACATTACCTCATCAATCCAAACCCTTAAGAAAGTTTTGTTTTTTCTCTTTGTCTTTCCACAGAAATCCGCAAAGTACTATCAAAGATTGCAAAACTGAAAGACTGTGAAGCCTTATCTGAGTGGATAAAGCCATGTGAAAGGCACCTCCATTGGAGTGCCACCTCTACCTTCAGTGGCAATGGGAGAGTTATTTTGGCAAAGTTTAAGGGATTCTTTTATCATGTCATCAATAAGCATTCTGGTTTCAGTGATCCCCTGTTCAATAAATGCGCCCATGGAAATATTGAACCACGGAAATGGCTAAGAAGTGGTATGTTCATAGGTTAAGCCTTGTAAAAGTAAGGTTGTTGCTTTGCTGTTTTTCAGATGATATGTTGGAGAAGGGGGGTTCGCCCAAGTGTTCACTTTGAAGATGAAACTTTTGAAAATAACCAATATTCTCAATACTCCCCAGAGCCAACCCTTGCCTTATGTAATAATTATGGAAAATCCTATGGTGTAAATAGCACAAGGTAGTAAAAGAATCGTCACAAAAATGTACTACAGTACTCTAGTGGTATGCTACAACCAGTAGCAAAAATGTTGAGACACTCTCACGAAAAAACAACCTGTCTTGCTTCAAATCGCTGCTAGTCGCAAGTCTTTGAGATAAAATACTGACCCCCCTCCTCCCCCCATTCCAAGTTGTTCCTGCAAGTTTTGAGCATGGTCTTGTATTGCTAGCAACTTTGAAAAGGGGTGGAGGGGGGGTCACGAGCACAAGATCATGGACAGGCCATTTAAGCCAAAATACGGTACAGTGTCTCAAGTACTTTTGTAACTGGTTGTAGCTACAGATGCACATTCTGAACTTGAAACACAATCACTATAAACAGCAGATAAAATAAAAGAAGTGCACAGCGCCCCTCGAGCAAAAACAGGGGAAAAAGTTATTCTTTTCTTTAACTAGTTACAAAAGATACAGTCCAAAGCTAGTTTTATTTCATAAATGTTTTAGCGTACAGCATGGAAGAATTTCTTCCCTCCTTCCCAAATGCGCGGGGCAGAATTAGGTGACGTGACATGCTTTGCATGACTGCACTGAAAGCTGGTTTGGCTGGGGCAGTTCGACAGTTGTTTTCGTTCATTGCCGTGGCGGAAAGTGATTTTGTTACAGTTATAAGTTCGAATTCTTCTTTCATTTCCTTCTGGAGGTCTTTCCGAGGAATCTTCTGAGAAGTTCTATGGACTCTTAAGCGAACACAGTCTCAGGTGTGTATCGTTGGATTCAGTAAAAATTACATAAATCGCTGCATAAAATTCATAAAACGGAACAGATTGACTTTTGTTGTATTTTTACCGCTTTGTGGACTTTTTGACACTTAATACCTTAACTTAGCTTTCGAGAAGTTACCGAATAATCAAAGGCTTGGCTGTTGGCTCCTACCGTAATTCGCATTTGGTTGTGCTTCGGTCAGAGGTCACGTTTTTTCGCCCGTTTTTAGTGTAATATTTACATTTGCTTCGCTTTGTCAGCGCTCGCGATTTCATTTACCCAAAAATTTTATTTCGCTGATTTGAAGAAAAAGAATGCTCTTTCAGACTAAACAAGCCTTGATGTTCAAAGCCATGTACCAATCCGCTTTTTTAGCTCGTGGAAAAGTGGTAAATTTTGACGGTTGATTAAGCGATTTTGAGTCAACAACTTTGAAAATTTCTTTAAAAATCTCTTGTTGACCAAATCGCGAACTAATCAGTTAAAATTATAGAGGAAAGATAGTAAAAATACGAAGTGTCNTTCTTCCCTCCTTCCCAAATGCGCGGGGCAGAATTAGGTGACGTGACATGCTTTGCATGACTGCACTGAAAGCTGGTTTGGCTGGGGCAGTTCGACAGTTGTTCTCGTTCATTGCCGTGGCGGAAAGTGATTTTGTTACAGTTATAAGTTCGAATTCTTCTTTCATTTCCTTCTGGAGGTCTTTCCGAGGAATCTTCTGAGAAGTTCTATGGACTCTTAAGCGAACACAGTCTCAGGTGTGTATCGTTGGATTCAGTAAAAATTACATAAATCGCTGCATAAAATTCATAAAACGGAACAGATTGACTTTTGTTGTATTTTTACCGCTTTGTGGACTTTTTGACACTTAATACCTTAACTTAGCTTTCGAGAAGTTACCGAATAATCAAAGGCTTGGCTGTTGGCTCCTACCGTAATTCGCATTTGGTTGTGCTTCGGTCAGAGGTCACGTTTTTTCGCCCGTTTTTAGTGTAATATTTACATTTGCTTCGCTTTGTCAGCGCTCGCGATTTCATTTACCCAAAAATTTTATTTCGCTGATTTGAAGAAAAAGAATGCTCTTTCAGACTAAACAAGCCTTGATGTTCAAAGCCATGTACCAATCCGCTTTTTTAGCTCGTGGAAAAGTGGTAAATTTTGACGGTTGATTAAGCGATTTTGAGTCAACAACTTTGAAAATTTCTTTAAAAATCTCTTGTTGACCAAATCGCGAACTAATCAGTTAAAATTATAGAGGAAAGATAGTAAAAATACGAAGTGTCATTATATTTTAGTAGCCAACTTTATTTTAAAATATACGAGTTACTGAATATGACTCTAATCTCGCATGATTTTTGCCCATTGTAGGCCTCGGGAAGTAAAAAATTCGTTAAAAAAATATTATTCACTCGATCGTACTTAAACCAACGATTTTGTAACTTGGGCCCATAGGGCTTTATTCTGGCTGAGTTTGAGGCCAGGTCATTTTTTGACTATTTCCTCGTCTAGTTGGTATTTACGCGGAGCCGCTCTTAAACATCGATCAAACCTGGTTATATATGTAGCGGTACCACGAGAGCAATGTTGAATGTCTCCTACAAAACAGTCTAATCCTGAAATACTATAGCTTTTTAAATTTGCATCTCTAAAATTATGTGTGTTTTTTTAGTTGCCCCTTACATGTAATGACGAAGATAATTTTTGGTCAAGCACTAAAACAACTTAAATCAAATATGCGCCAAAGTAACTGTTAATGGTGCCCATGTAAAGTTCGGCTCCATTGTTACTGTTGGGAACTAGAGTGATGAAGTCACCGGCCGCCAGGTTGAAAACCCCACCAGCGTACAGAGTACCATTGAAATCCAAATTGTTTACTGGCGCTTGAATCATTGTTATGTCTTTGTTGTTAACTCTTATATAGACTCGTCCACTGCTGAAGAAGTAAAGTTGAGCGTAGATGTAGTACCGTCCGGGGGTTGGCACCGTCAGTTTTCCGTCGTGGTACTTCATGCCTCCTTCAAGATGGCTGTACGGGGAACTGACAGACCAGTCTTTGATCACTACAAAGCGAGGTGTCAAAAATATTCGATTTCAGTGCTCAATTTGATCATCCGTGAATAATTTTCGAAAATTACTTCTAAACCTTTCTCTCATCCCACTATATCCTACCATACCAGTCCTTGGTAACGATTTTTAGAGATTTATGAGATCGCGTGACAAATTGTTGCCACACAAAAACACAGTGGCGGAGTCATTCATTTAATTGTTGCCAAATCATTTTTTTTTTATGCGTTTTAAAAAAGCGCAATCCTTGCCGATACACTTTTTCTTTCAAAGTTTTAGCTTAACAAAATTAAAATGCAAATGTAGATTGTAGAAGATCCTCGGCGAATTTGAAGTACCTTTGTCGGATGGGTAGCGAACCGATTTTCCGACGTCAGCTTCGATATGAGCAGATGGCTAAAACATAAAAAAAAACAGTCAGAAAGGATAGGACATAGATGATGAAAAGTTGCTTAGGAAGACAGAAAAATAAAGCTGGTTATTGAGCTGAGAACAAAAAAAAAAGATTAAACTTATTGTTGTTGTAAATGTATTATTATTTTAATTATTATTATTATTATTATTATTATTATTATTATTTATCTTCTCATTGAAATTTCATTGAAAAAATGGAAAATGCCGCAAGGAAATTGAGTGCCGTCACTCTTTTGATCACCCCATTGACAGGTTGGTGTCTACAGTTGCTTAGCAACAACGCCGCATCGGTTGTTTTTGCGGCTGTTCTAGCTGCCTCGTCGCAGTATTTTTTCGTCCCCACCGCCAGAGCGCCCCGGGAGAGCTTGCTCGCAGGTTATCCACGCGCACGCATAATGAGCAAAAAGAAGACCACTGTTCACGAGAATAGTTGAACGGTAGAAAGTAAATTCATGATATCCGGATTTGGTTTCTTAATTAAAATCCACCATGAGGACGGAACTCTCGAAGATTAAATCCGTTTTCCGAGTGCGCGTTCGATTGCAATTTCCGGGTGTGGGTTTCGAAATCTAAATCCGGATTTCCCAATCAAACGCAACCAAAGTACATTCTTCGAAGACTTTTATAAGTATAGTGGCAAATAATCTACAGGTCAGATGTAGCAATGCTATGCAGCTTCGCTCTACGTAAGAAGTAGGAGCATTTTTCCTGAAAAGTCTCAGCGCATAGCAATCATGGCTATTTTATCACCGATCACACTCTCATTGAATAGCCAAACTTCGAATAAACACTTCCATCTTGGTAGGGACATATTCACAAACAATATATTATCCTTCATCGATTCCTGACGACCACGCTCATATACCAGAGGAAAATCAATCGCTCGGTACGTTGGTATGCTGCGTAATTAAAGAAAAAACACTACCGAGTATAACGATTGGCAATTCCAATTTTTCCCTTTGAAAAACACAGCAACGCGATTATATGGGTATCCTATCTATCTTGTTAAAAACGACACGGTGAATATAGCAATCTCAACTAGTTATCGTCTCTTAGCCTCAGTGTGCTAATAGGGCAAGAGCGCGGAGATTTCGAGTTAGGCAATTGTCGGTGCTTCTGCTGCGCGAAGTTTCACAAAAATCTACAAGAAGACTATTTCGAAATACCTAAGAATGTAAGATATGAGTAAAACGAAACCTGGACATTATCCAAACAAATTTCCTACTTTCTAGATGTTTCCGGAAAGTTTTTACTACTAGGTCTTTCAACAAAGAGCCTTATACAACATGTTCTAAGGCCAAATGCGATATTCTAAAATGGCGAAATTCTGGTTAAAAATTGCTAGTCGGCTTAAAAAGTATTTAATTTGATTTATTTTTTAGATTTAAAATGAAATGTCAAAATGTTACCATTCATTTAATTTCTAACGTCGTTTTGGTAATAACGCAAGATTGCAACAGGCCCTCCAGATTCCAAATTTTGTGTACAAACCCTTCGGACGATGGCTGAAAATGACAGTGGCAATTTCCAACGTCGGTAGAAATCACGACCATTAAAGATGGGAAATGCCGCCTTCAATAGCCGTTTCAGTCACACTAGAGACGGATTATCCATCTGAGAAGGATAATCTATCTTCACAATTCGTCAAAATTGACGGGAAAACAGAATGACGGATAAAGTCGGGTGGATTGTCCATTCAAAATTTAGACCCTTCCGTTTTCAAATTAAGACGTATTGACGCGAATTATCAAACGGATAACCCGTCTCAGACGGATAATCCATTTCTAGTGTGAATACGGCCAATTTGGATGGATAATTCGTCTGATTTTATCCGTCTGTTTTTCAGTCTTTTTAGACGGATTTTGAAGACGAATAATCCGTCTAAGACTATTCGTCTCAAATTTTTCTATCCAACCTCGTCCCAAGTGTCTTCTTGCTTTCTCAAAAAGACTGGGGACGAAGTTGTTTTTTAGCTGGAACAAGAAATGGTGCGTTGCATCGCGGGATTCGTACAACAAAACATGCCGCCCAAAGTAAAAGCACTGACATGCAAGGATGAAGATAAATCACAAAGAAAAGCAAAAACGTTGAAAAAGAACATGTGGAGTGAAGATGAAACCTTCATGTACTTTCCTTGTTAGATGGAAGAGACGATGGACTTAAGTCTTAGAAAATGTTGCGGTAAAGGAAAAGTAGTACGTTAGTTTTTTTTAAGTTTTCTTTTCCCCGACATAAAAAAGGCAATGGCGGCCATTGCAATGAATTGGTGACTGTGCTAAAGCGTCGAAGGCATGTTTTTCCTTGGGTTCATCCGTGTAATGTGAATCCGTGAAAAGGCAAATTTAAAATCTTTATCCGTCTCTAATCACATTTTGACGGAAAATAGATCAGACGGATTATCCGCCTTGACGGACGTCTATTGTGGGAAAACGGCCAATGTCACACAAACATTGTAAATTATTTGAAATGAAAAACAGAATTCCCCAAAATCCTTTTCAAACGAAGTAAATGACTACCATGATTATCGAGCATAACAGTCCAGAAATAAAACTTAGTTTTTTTTTATTCCTGCTTATAATAATTTCATTGGTAAGCATAAAGTAAAGTTATCGCTGTCAATGACGCTCATCTCAGCAGGCCATTTTTAAATGAAATAAAAATTTTCTCGCTTTTCCCTTTAGACTTTATTAAACATAAAATATTGAAACCTGGGTTGGGTTGCAAAAAACATCTTAAGGTTAAGGGAACTCGTAACTATTATTTTAAAACAATAGGTTATTGTTCGAGAACAAAAGTTAAGAGCCCTCTTAATTTAAGAAGGTCTTATGCAACCTTGCCCAGGCAAGAAATGTGATAAAAGGAGAAGATTTGAAATGGTAAACTGACCCGTTCCCTGATTTCGTGATCAAATTTATCATCTCCAACCTATCTCTTATCAACCTAATCAGAAATCACACCACAGACTATAAACTGAGGCTTCCTTTGAACCGTTCTCTGCTCGGAACAAGCCTCCTCTGTGTCTAAGCTTTCGTCTATTTCGTGCGAGAATGGTTTCAAATTAGCATTGCCAGTAAGGAAACGCAACTATAACAAGATCAAACAAAAATATATCTGCTAGACTACTCAATGGATGTAAGAGTGTTGTATTATGTAACTTATCTTAAAATTATAATATTGGGACTCAGTACCTAAACGATATAAAAATTTGAGTGAGGTATCAAACTGCTATAAACTGAAGAAAAACGGAAAAGAAATATGGAAACGCCAGTATGGCGACAGACTGTTTAAAACAGAATAATTAATAGATGACACTCTTTTAGAGACTGAACTTGGAGGATTAAATGGAGAAAAGAATAGCAGCCTTCGCAATTTGAAAATGGACAGATGTAGTCAAACAAAAAAGCGTGTGTTCTGTTAGTGGCTTTTGAGCTCGACGACAACAACAAGCTGTCTTATTATATGACATCCACAAATCATTAATTTTTAAAAATTCGACTTTCATGAAACTTAAACAACGACGAGAACGACATTTAAAAAAAGGGATTTGCGCTCCCTCAATCTTCATCGCGCTTATTTCGATCTCGTTTGTTTGGTCAAGTGATGGCGAATTTTTCTAGAGTTGAATTCTAAAGAATTGAATCGAAGTTCGGTAAAACAGAACGAAAGTCGTTGCCTTCTGTCAACGTCCTCTGTGTACATATCATGTGCTGGTTTAATAGATTTAATCTGTGTTTTTTAAGTTCCCATTTTCGATTGCTTTTAGTTTACACGCCAGTAAAAACTCGAAACTCGCTCATGCTAACATCAATCGCGCTTGTTGAGTAGGCGAAGACACAGAAAATAGGAGAAGCATAACACTGTCCACACTTAGTGATCACGCAAACAATTTTATGATACAAATGCAAACAAAACAGTAACGCTGGGCGACATTGAGCACAACTGTCAGCTCTAGGATGCTAAGTCACCAAACCTTGTTCTAGTAAGTAATATGCCCGCCTTTTAAGTACTCTATTCTCAAGTTGATATTTGAAGCTCCCGGTGAAGTACTGCGTTTTCGAGGCTTCGCCGCTTATTTGCCCTCTCGCCACTGAGGTCATAATATGAAGTTGTGTGGGAAATTCTCACTGAAAGTTCCTATTTCGTTGGATCGAGTCTTCTTTACCCTAATCCAAAATTAAGACCCCCCAAAAGGCCGAGTGTGTTGCATTAAACAGAAATAAATATTAAAATGAAAAAAACATCTTTGAACAGACACTGGGAAGATGGAAAAACATGCTTTATGGATCACGCAACGCCTTCTGGGTATTTGGGTTAATAATTAACAGTGTTCACTTTCGACGGAAACGACCAACGGAACGGGCGTGCCTTGAGGCAGCCCAGTCAGTAAAAAGTGAAGTCTCGCAGCTCCTAACTTTATCGCGCTTATTCCACCTCGTTCAATTCGTCAAATATTGGCAGTTTTTTTTTTCTTTCTGGAGTTAATTTCTAAAAGACCATTGTATCGAAGATCAGGAAAAGAAAAATAAATTTGTTGTCCTGTGTTCGATGTCGCCGTCGTCGTTGCTGAAGCTCCCAATCAACCCCTTCCTAAGCAGACAAAACATGAGATATTTAGAATTGATTATTAAAAATCTACGAACCTTTCTGCCACAGATATTTTTCCATCGCTTAAGAAACTTGCCAGTGAAAGGCAAACCACCCAAGGCGTTGTTATATGTATCAATGCTTTCTTTCACCCGTTTCTTTTCATTCGTGCTGCCCAAACTAGAGATGGCTTTCCTTATTGCACCTTCCACTTCAGTGGTTTCCTTGAAGAACTGAACAATGTCGTCTGGAGGTTTGTCTTCAGTTTTGAAGTAATCATTGGCATATTCCAAGGCGCTGCGAAGATCATCAAAGCGGTGACTTAAGTCATCCAGTTCATATGCCTCAACTCTTCCTTGCAAGGGTGGTTTTGCGGTTTTTATGATATCCACAACTGGTAAGAGCTCAAACTACAAAAAAAGATTGTTTAAGGTGGCGCAAATAGGGTTTTTTCAGGGTAAATAAATCCTAGGTTTGAGCATAAANTTTTTTTTTTCTTTCTGGAGTTAATTTCTAAAAGACCATTGTATCGAAGATCAGGAAAAGAAAAATAAATTTGTTGTCCTGTGTTCGATGTCGCCGTCGTCGTTGCTGAAGCTCCCAATCAACCCCTTCCTAAGCAGACAAAACATGAGATATTTAGAATTGATTATTAAAAATCTACGAACCTTTCTGCCACAGATATTTTTCCATCGCTTAAGAAACTTGCCAGTGAAAGGCAAACCACCCAAGGCGTTGTTATATGTATCAATGCTTTCTTTCACCCGTTTCTTTTCATTCGTGCTGCCCAAACTAGAGATGGCTTTCCTTATTGCACCTTCCACTTCAGTGGTTTCCTTGAAGAACTGAACAATGTCGTCTGGAGGTTTGTCTTCAGTTTTGAAGTAATCATTGGCATATTCCAAGGCGCTGCGAAGATCATCAAAGCGGTGACTTAAGTCATCCAGTTCATATGCCTCAACTCTTCCTTGCAAGGGTGGTTTTGCGGTTTTTATGATATCCACAACTGGTAAGAGCTCAAACTACAAAAAAAGATTGTTTAAGGTGGCGCAAATAGGGTTTTTTCAGGGTAAATAAATCCTAGGTTTGAGCATAAACTACGTCGCCATTAACGAAGAATAATTTTGAAACCGCCGGATTTTTTTTAAAAAAACTGGAGATTCACGAGACTAACAGTCGTTTTATATGACCTTTGAGTTTCAAGATTCATTATTGATAACTTGTAAGGCAGCGCTCCAATTCGCTTGGTTTTTTATTGGATGTTTTTGTGGTTACAAGTGAAAACCTCACATCATTCAGGGGTATTGTCTCTTAGTTTCATACTCTGAATAATAAATGACAGGCTGTCACTTGTGAACACGGAATTTCCGACAGTAATCTAGCGAAATGCAGCCCTTATTTTACTGCCGTAAAAGTTATCAATAAACTTGAAACTCAAAGGTCATATAAAACGACAGTTAATCTGCAGAATCTCAAATTTTAGAAAAAAATATCTAGCGGTTTCAGAATTATTCGCCTATCTGTTAAAGTGTACCAAAATGTTTACAAAATCGTTAACAACATCGCCTCGATACACACTACAGCTGCGGTCATCGCGGTAAGTTTTCTAAATCTCTGATACTGGTGACGTACTTTATGCTCAAATAGGCTTGTGAGCTATTGACCCTGAAAAACCCTATCGAGCCAGTTCTGAATATTAAAATAAATAAAAAACAAGCTCAACAACATATTTAAGACCGGTCCCAGAATATCAGAAGATACGTTTGACCTTGATTCCACAACTGATTCAGATATTATTGGGTTAAGTATTGTCTACTTCACCCGAGATATGAGCCAGTAGACATTTCAGATTGATAGCTAAAACATGACAAATATATCGACTTGAAAAGAATGGCTACAGGTAAGCAATGTTGACTACTATTCATTCGAAATGAAGGATTTTGTCTGTTTCTGGCTTTGAGGAGGCAGCGTGGCCGGGGTCGGACACACAGTCTCGGACTCGAGTACCTCTCAGTAGCCACTTGCTGGATTATTTTGTTCTTGGTAGTCCCAAGTTCAAACCGGCTTGCCCACGCTTGTAGACAAAAGACAAAGATAAAAAAACAAACAAAACTATTCCCGTCGCTATCCTAGTGAAATTTCATTCTTCATAGAGTAAATCAGCACCTCCCGCCCCTGTGGTACGCACGTTTGTCACCCCGAAGAATTCAGATTATTCAATCAAGCTTCGGCTCGGTCTAGGCATGTGTCACCTGGAACAAAAGACCTATAGTTAAAATTTGGATGAGCAATCTAAGGTCGGTACAATAGACCGTTTACGTTTTTTGATACGCACAAAGAAAATTCTTACCTTGACTGGGATTCCTTTTCCACCATTTATGTTCTTCAAACTTTCGGGAAAGTTTTTAATCAGATTGGTGAGCTCCTCAATATTGATGGGAAGATTGTCTGGTAAGCCAGTGCAGTAGTAGTTCACCTGTAGGTCTGACCCTCTCGAGCATTCGTTGGATAACCTGTCCAATTCAGCCTTAAGTCCAACGTTCCCTGCCGAGGCACTGATGTCTCCTGAGGCCCCGCCATGAATGTCCCCCCTATAACATTAAAGATTAATACACATGCATCACTTCTGCGATAAGGCTGCTATATGCATTCAATAGACTTGGCATCGGAGGCCTATGGAAAAATAGATGTTCGCAAGACCAAACTCGATAAGACAAAAAGGGATTAGCCTGGGAGCAAGCTCTCCGGGGCGCTTCTGGCAGCGGGGCGGGAAAAGGAAGGAGCGCTTGCAACTACGTCTCTGGAATTCCATCTCCGTCGACTGACAAATTTCCGCCAATGAGTGCGAAGCAGAAACGAGCGCGGGCCAATGTAAGAAAAAAAATTGAAAAACACGTGCCAATGGTAATGACGTCATTACTAATGTCATCTCCGCCAATCAGCATTTCACATCCACTTTTTCGGTGCAAATATTCAAATTCCAGAGACAAAGTTCCACGCCCTCCTTCCTTTTCCCACCCCGCCGCCAGAGCACCCCGTAAGTAGGACATTAGGTTTCGTTGATCCTTACATGAATCAAATGCTAATGTGCTTGCGTATTGAATTTAATATGGCGGGACGATTAAATATTCCAAAACGTTCTGTTGATGAATACACTGAGGATGGTAACGCCCGGAGGGAGTACTCCCTTATATAAGCCATTTAGGTATATGTGGCCTATCGGGTAGGGATTTTGCGCCGTTTTGGTCTGAAAACGGGTATACACTTTGCCCATATTGGTCTGGAATCGAGTATGGTTATCGAGGGAACCACGGAGTGTATTAATGCACTTATCGTTTCAATTCCAAATGAGNGGGACGATTAAATATTCCAAAACGTTCTGTTGATGAATACACTGAGGATGGTAACGCCCGGAGGGAGTACTCCCTTATATAAGCCATTTAGGTATATGTGGCCTATCGGGTAGGGATTTTGCGCCGTTTTGGTCTGAAAACGGGTATACACTTTGCCCATATTGGTCTGGAATCGAGTATGGTTATCGAGGGAACCACGGAGTGTATTAATGCACTTATCGTTTCAATTCCAAATGAGTAAGAAAAAAAGAGAGAGAAATATTTTCCAACTTGTTTTCGGTGGTACATTGAGAAAAGAAATCATACTTTGGAATAGAATGGCATTTTTCTGACAGAAATTGTGTGTTTTTAGCGGTCTTTCATAGAGTGTTCAAGCGTTACCCGACATCACATAGGGCAACTATCGCAATGAGTTTGATATAGCGCTCCTATTCCAACTCGACCATATCCCGACTATAGCAAGTTACCAAATTTCAACCATCTTTCTTGGAGTAAAAGCCCCACCGATGACCGTGAGCCAGACAACTTCCAGCCTCGAGCTCAGATTATATTAGTCAGTGGGGACAGTGAGACCATTAGAGAGTTTTGTCCCCGAAAATCGTGTGGCAGAGGATTGTTAGCACCTTGCTTAGATATAAATGCGCAAAGAGAAGAAGAAAGAGGAGAATGAAAGGGAGCGAATGGAACGGCTGAACCGGGAGTACAATGACATTGACTGGGTTGGACTGTACAACTCCGACAACCTGTCATCCTTGAGGGTGAACGAACTGTCATTGTACCTTTCCCATCACAAGATCACCTGCAAAGGGAAGAAAACTCAAAACGTTGCAAAAATCAAAGCGCTCATTGGCAAGTTGTTGGTTATGGAACGTCATCAACCTCAGAAGCCCCCGTTAAGAAATATGCAATAACAAGTGACCTCATCACTTTCCGAGGTCGAAACTGACGCAAAGTGATGTGGTAGATCGAGTTGTCGATTCAAGCTCGAGTAGCTAAAATGACGAATCCTCACCGGACTCTGATTCTATACCAGAACCCTGTAAGGAAACATTACCTACGTCAAAATATTGACGAAAGTGGGTACGGGTTGAGAGAGACGATTGTGTTAGGTGGGAGAAGTCAGCTTTTTAAATTATCAATAATACAATTTTTTGGAACTTGTAAATCATTTGCATTGATTTTGGCTAGTAGCTTTGCTTGTACATGCAAGTTTTAGTTTTCCAAAGACTTTGTATGTTTGTTAACATAAATAAGAGAGTCTTCTTTAACAGAAGCAACGTGGAGTACTTTATTCCTCTGATGAAAGTGTGACCCTGCTCCAACGGCGAACAAAACAGGTTTGGCCCTCCCAGATTTGTAAAAATTTTACTGATGACCCTCCCCTGCAAAGTCCCCCTCCCCCTAATAAAAAAAAAAACGTACCTTCCCGGAAAGGGCATTTGTAGCTCTCTCCTCCGCAGAGGCTCCCGCTAGGTACCCCAATGAAAATAGCAATAAATTCACTGAAAATCTCCTCATTTTCAGTAGGTGATAAATTTCTTAGTATGAATTTACTCTTAACGTACTTTTTAAAAGTTGTTGAAGTCTTGAATGTTAGGCTTGCCACTAATTTTGCCCCATATGTTACGCTTTTTACATAATAAGTTCCCATTGCAGCTGTGTTCTCTAGAGGTGTCGGGTTTCCGTCGATGGTATCAGTGACCTGAGAAAAGTGTGATCTTAATGTCAGACTTCAAAAAAAAATTCTTGTTTTAAGAGATAGATGGTTAATAATTATACAAAAATTAAACTAGCAATGTCTGTTTTGTTTACCACGTCCTCGCAGTCTTTTCTTTTTCCCAGCTGAATTTGATAAAACCCGCCTGTGATTTTTCTTAGTAGTCTGAAGTTACTTTGAACATGCCAAGATTTATTACCTTTGCAGTACCAGCATTAAAATTAGCCTTGACTTCAGTCATCATAGAAATTAATAGGCGAGATTTTTTGAGATTGCATTTGTGTCGACACACATTTGCCTCGCTTTGAAGGGCTAGCATACATTTTGCCTTACGTACTTTGACGCTGTAACTCGCCTGATGATCCGCTACTATCTTCGTAAAGCATTTTCATCTCTCTCTTGATCGTTTTCGTAATTTAATTATCTGAATTATCTGAATGAGTTCAGACCACTTTAAACGTGTGTGGGCATCTATTTCAAAGATGGACTTGAAAGTATCGATCTCGTACGACATTTTGCCTGGTCTCTTTGGCACACTGTCATTGTATCACATCTTAAGCATGCTTGAGAGTTGTTATGCAATGACGCACTGTAACCCTGAACTTCTCTTCATCCTAATCGGAACTTAGGAGAATGCGTTCAAGATGTTTGTTAGCTATTCAGATAATTAAATTACGAAGACGATCCAGAGAAAGATGAAAAATGCTTTACGAAGATAGCAGCGGATCATCAGGCGAGTTACAGCGTCAAAGTACGTAAGGCAAAATGTATGCTAGCCCTTCAAAGCGAGGCAAATGTGTGTGGGACAGGACACCCTACAGAAATTAGGGGTTGCTTTCTCGTAATTCGAATTTCTGTTGATGAATACACTGAGGATGGTAACGCCCGGAGGGAGTACTCCCTTATATAAGCCATTTAGGTATATGTGGCCTATCGGGTAGGGATTTTGCGCCGTTTTGGTCTGAAAACGGGTATACACTTTGGCCATATTGGTCTGGAATCGGGTATAGTTATCGAGGGAAGCACGGAGTGTATTAATGCACTTATCGTTTCAATTCCAAATGAGTAAGAAAAAAAGAGAGAGAAATATTTTCCAACTTATTTTCGGTGGTACATTGAGAAAAGAAATCATACTTTGGAATAGAATGGCATTTTTCTGACAGAAATTGTGTGTTTTTAGAGGTCTTTCATAGAGTGTTCAAGCGTTACCCGACATCACATAGGGCAACTATCGCAATGAGTTTGATATAGCGCTCCTATTCCAACTCGACGACCATATCCCGTCTATAGCAAGCTACCAAATTTCCACCATCTTTCTCGGAGTAAAAGCCCCACCGATGACCGTGAGCCAGACAACTTCCAGCCTCGAGCTCAGATTATATTAGTCAGTGGGGACAGCGAGACCATTAGAGAGTTTTGTCCCCGAAAATCTTGTGGCAGAGGATTGTTAGCACCTTGCTTAGATATAAATGCGCAAAGAGAAGAAGAAAGAGGAGAACGAAAGGGAACGAATGGAACGGCTGAACCGGGAGTACAATGACATTGACTGGGTTGGACTGTACAACTCCGACAAGCTGTCATCCTTGAGGGTGAACGAACTGTCATTGTACCTTTCCCATCACAAGATCACCTGCAAAGGGAAAAAAGCTCAAAACGTTGCAATAATCAAAGCGCACATTGGCAAGTTAATTGTTCGTTATGGAACGTCATCAACCTCGGAAGCCCCCGTTAAGAAGTATGCAACAACAAGTGACCTCATCACTTTCCGAGGTCGAAACTAACGCAAAGTGATGTGGTAGATCGAGTTGTCGGTTCAAGCTCGAGTAGCTAAAATGACGAATCCTCACCGGATTCTGATTCTATACCAGAACCCTGTAAGGAAACATTACCTGCGTCAAAATATTGACGAAAGTGGGAACGGGTTGAGAGAGACGATTGTGTTAGGTGGGAGAAGTCAACTTTTTAAATTATCAATGATACAATTTTTTGGAACTTGTAAATCATTTGCATTGATTTTGGCTAGTAGCTTTGCTTGTACATGCAAGTTTTACTTTTCCAAAGACTTTGTATGTTTGTTAACATAAATAAAAGAGTCTACTTTAACAGAAGCAACGTGGAGTACTTTATTCTTCTGATGAAAGTGTGACCCTGCTCCAACGGCGAACAAAACAGGTTTGGCCCTCCCAGATTTGTAAAAATTTTACTGATGACCCTCCCCTGCTAAGTCCCCCCTCCCCCTAATAAAAAAAACGTACCTTCCCGGAAAGGGCATTTGTACCTCTCTCCTCCCGCTAGGTACCCCAATGAAAATAGCAATAAATTCACTGAAAATCTCCTCATTTTCAGTAGGTGCTAAATTTCTTAGTATGAATTTACTCTTAACGTACTTTTTAAAAGTTGTTGAAGTCTTGAATGTTAGGCTTGCCACTAATTTTGCTCCATATGTTACGCTTTTTACATAATAAGTTCCCATTGCAGCTGTGTTCTCTAGAGGTGTCGGGTTTCCGTCGATGGTATCAGTGACCTGAGAAAAGTGTGATCTTAATGTCAGACTTAAAAAAAAAAATTCTTGTTTTAAGAGATAGATGGTTAATAATTATACAAAAATTAAACTAGCAATGTCTGTTTTGTATACCACGTCCTCGCAGTCTTTTCTTTTTCCCAGCTGAATTTGATAAAACCCGCTTGTGATTTTTCTTAGTAGTCTGAAGTTACTTTGAACATGCCAAGATTTATTACCTTTGCAGTACCAGCATTAAAATTAGCCTTGACTTCAGTCAACATAGAAATTAATAGGCGAGATTTTTTGAGATTGCATTTGTGTCGACACACATTTGCCTCGCTTTGAAAGGCTAGCATACATTTTGCCTTACGTACTTTGACGCTGTAACTCGCCTGATGATCCGCTACTATCTTCGTAAAGCATTTTCATCTTTCTCTTGATCGTTTTCGTAATTTAATTATCTGAATTATCTGAATGAGTTCAGACCACTTTAAACGTGTGTGGGCATCTATTTTAAAGATGGACTTGAAAGTATCGATCTCGGACGACATTTTGCCTGGTCTCTTTGGCACACTGTCATTGGATCACATCTTAAGCATGCTTGAGAGTTGTTATGCAATGATGCACTGTAACCCTGAACTTCTCTTCATCCTAATCGGAACTTAGGAGAATACGATCAAGATGTTTGTTAGCTATTCAGATAATTAAATTACGAAGACGATCAAGAGAAAGATGAAAAATGCTTTACGAAGATAGTAGCGGATCATCAGGCGAGTTACAGCGTCAAAGTACGTAAGGCAAAATGTATGCTAGCCCTTCAAAGCGAGGCAAATGTGTGTGGGACAGGACACCCTACAGAAATTAGGGGTTGCTTTCTCGTAATTCGAACGCAGTTAAGGGAAAGCTCACCTAAAGTACGATAAATCCCTTAGCGAAATGATTAACTATACATACATACGTACTTACATACAGATACTTTATTTAACCTCGAATTTAAAGTAGCTAAAGATAAGCTAGTATCTTCGAATTCCAAGTATGATTTTAAAACTACTAAAACAAGAAATTATAACATTCTAATATTGAAACTATTGAAGAGTCATACGGTAAAATGACATCTATCTCCACATTTATTCGACTAGTTCTCAGTTCATGAGATGTATTGTCCCATAGATGCAGATTGCCGAGGGCTTCTGAAAAGTTGGATTTCAAACTGGCTTCGGCTTCAATGTGAAGATCTGTGGGGTATCATCACTATTATCATTACTATCATCATCATCATCGTCATTATTACTTTTATTGTCTCCTCTGTCACACTCCTTGCTAGTGTTCCTTTTGTGCATCAGCGGGGCGCAAACCATGCACCTGGAGCATCAGTCACTCATAAGTCAATCACTATGTTCATACACTAAGCACCATCATACTATATTATAATTATTATTGTTGACATACCGTGGTACAATTCATCACTGCCAGCAGTTTAGTTGTTCCTTCTTCCTTCTTGGATTCATCCACAAACTTACCTTCTCCTTCCACTTGGAGAAGATTGGCCTTGATTTTTAAAGAAAGTTCTCCAGAAATGTCTAGGAGGTCATTGACATCTTTGCTATTTTGCACAAGCGAGTACTTGAAGGTGAAATTGTTGACATTAGTTGTTCTGATTGAAATCTGATCACTTTGGAAGATATCGCCGCTTGGTTTGCAATTCTGGGCATCATATGTTCTACCAATGCTCAAGGTAGGAGCGGCGTAGGCTGGAATATCCATTGTACTTTGCTAAAAAAATTCAAAGTGCTGTTACAATATTAGTCTACTCAATTGTTAATTAAACAGGTCTTAAACGATTTGAGCACAACGTGATTTTGTAGAGAATTTTTTTTGAAAATGTTCAGATTTGGCGCCATTTTGACACACATTCGCCTAAGTAACAATCAAGTCGCGCCTCACGGACACCCCGCTATAACGGACACCCCAATAAAAAGGATAGTAGCTAAATCCCGGGCAAACACAAATTACAGATGTTTGACTGAAATAAAATCCCGCTATTACGGACTCTCGCGCAATAATGAAGACGCGAATTCGAAGTCCACACAGGGTCCACCATAAAGGGAGTTGACTGTATTCTTTCGGAAATAAACGAGCTGTGATGAAGATTAAGGATTCGGAAAGATGATTTTAGATACAATTAAACAAGTGTGTATAGTTCTAGAAATATTTCTTTCAGTTCACAATCTGAAACAACTGTTAATTGAAAGGTAAAACATACCCCAAGATTTGTTGCAGCTAGATGCAACCTAAGAAAGGGAGGGATAGCATGCTTGACATCCTGTTTTTCAGTTCCTTGATTTATGTTTCTTTACATCACATATGAGCCTGTCAATTTCGTGATCAACGGAACGGGTGAGCCAAAGATTCCATTTCTTTTTTCAAAACGCAAAACTTTTTCGAAGTTCTTCTGGTGATATGTATTTTTCAGTCAACCTTATTAATTTTTTTAGGCTATAAAGACATTGAGGAAACAAAGATCATTTGCACAACTTTACCTAATCCTTTTGGTGCTGTGCGGCAAGGTTAGTCTGAAATGTCAGCCGTCTCCACCCCCTGACCCGTGGGGGGCGCGGAGGAGAGGGACGACGTCTCTCTTATTGGTCTTACCGTTTGCTTTTTCTGTAGCGATATATCTCTAAATATGTACATGAATTCTTAAAAACGTTGTATTTTTTTATATCTGCGGTATATTGTCATCCTTTCGCCCGAAAAGCGTGATATGTGATATTTTGAGCGGGAAGTATAAAACAAACCAACTACGTGACTGACAAGTGACGCGAACGACTTCGTAAACACAGTTAAACGGCATGCAAGAGAGAAAGCTCTGCTCACAGGGTAGGCTCCATAGCGAAAGTCTTGTATAAAATTCACTTTGATTCTTAATTTCGCTTATGTTTAAAATAAAATACAGGTACTTCTGTAGCCAATAAAATGAATAAAAACAAAAAATAGAACTAGCACTTTGTAGTAATTGGTATTTTGCGCCAAAACATGTGGCCCAAAGAAAGGTTAAAATTAACCTTAAAATCGCTATTAAAGGCCATTTCGGTGATTTCTTAAAAGAAATCAGTCTTGCCGGCTCTTTATTGCCGAGAGCTGGGAACCAGGTGTAAATCAGCTTGAGAACGTTTCAGTAGAGAATTGATTTACCATCTTGCGTAAAATTTGAAACAAAAGGTATTTTTGCAACTTTCTTGAGGAGCACAAAATAAAACGCTAAAATAGATACGGGAAGGTATATGGAGATGGCCCCTATGTAAAAAAAAAGGAAAAGAAAAAAAAAATCGGTGATACTCACACGAAAACGCGTTTGTCTTTAACCTTGAAATAAACAACAAGCGTTTGCCTTCAGTACCTTGTTGAGACTGATAAGAAAGAACAAAGTGTATTCAATTTATCAACCTGTTTGATAATCTGTATTCTATTGTGGCTAGAAAGGAAGATCATTTAATTCATTCTCTGGCGATTAAAAACATTCTTACAATACCTCTCCACAAAGCCGTTATTTCAAGATGACAAAAACAGGAAGAAGTAACTCTACAGAGCTTTAATGGTTCATTTAATACTTTAGGATCAAATCACGGAATACCTGATTTCTTAAACAAAGGTCAATAAACACTATATATTATTCCGATTTCTTTTGAGTAACCTTTAATGTAGCGTGGTAAACATTCTTGATTACTTAAGAGTCGGACAGTGGTAGGTGAGAGACATGTTGACCAAGAATACTTAGTTTATAAACTCCTTAGTGAAATTATTTCAGAAATTCGATGTGAATCTAAAGGTTTGCGGATAGACTTGCAAGGTTTAAGCTAAGGCGACAAAAACAGGAAGACCTAGCGTTGACATGAGCGAGCTTAAGCGTATTAGTTCTTTCGGGTCAGGGGGTAGAGACGGCTGGTATTTTGCGCCAAAACATGTGGCCCAAAGAAAGGTTAAAATTAACCTAAAAATCGCTATTAAAGGCCATTTCGGTGATTTCTTAAAAGGAAATCAGTCTTGCCGGCTCTTTATTGCCGAGAGCTGGGAACCAGGTGTAATGCAGCTTGAGAACGTTTCAGTAGAGAAATGATTTACCATCTTGCGTAAAATTTGAAAGAAAAGGTATTTTTGCAACTTTCTTGAGGAGCGCAAAATAAAACGTTAAAATAGATACGGGAAGATATACGGAGATGGCCACTATGTAAAAAAAAAGGAAAGAAAAAAAATCCAAACACGGCACAAGGATCTTTATTCCCATTACAATCTTATTCTAAGAAAACTATAAGAAAAAATTTCCCGAAAAGTGCTCGGAAATACAAACGAAATACGCTCATACCCCCTGGGTATCCTATAATACTCCTTAAATCGAATTAATTCAATATGGCCGCCGTATTGGTAAAAAGGTCTATTTGTGAACTAAAAACAAAACTTGCGCACGGTCAGGGAGCTTCCAACACTTTTATAAACTGCAGCAAAGTTTGCTTTCATCAGTTTTTATTTTTGCCGCTGTCATAACCAATTATTTTTTGCTATGGAAATTCGTGCGACTTTGACCTCAGCTAAATAGCAGTTTTGATTCACTGATCCTCAAAGAAACCATTATATTCTCCGCATCTATTATTTAAGGAAGTCTTAGAGAAAAGTAAGCAGTATCATCTAAAGCGTACAAGATAACTCATAATGTGCCTTACTTGATTTTTCTCGTATTTTCTGGTATATTAATTTTGTAAGATAGCGGATCATCAGGCGAGTTACAGCGTCAAAGTACGTAAGGCAAAATGTATGCTAGCCCTTCAAAGCGAGGCAAATGTGTGTGGGACAGGACACCCTACAGAAATTAGGGGTTGCTTTCTCGTAATTCGAACGCAGTTAAGGGAAAGCTCACCTAAAGTACGATAAATCCCTTAGCGAAATGATTAACTATACATACATACGTACTTACATACAGATACTTTATTTAACCTCGAATTTAAAGTAGCTAAAGATAAGCTAGTATCTTCGAATTCCAAGTATGATTTTAAAACTACTAAAACAAGAAATTATAACATTCTAATATTGAAACTATTGAAGAGTCATACGGTAAAATGACATCTATCTCCACATTTATTCGACTAGTTCTCAGTTCATGAGATGTATTGTCCCATAGATGCAGATTGCCGAGGGCTTCTGAAAAGTTGGATTTCAAACTGGCTTCGGCTTCAATGTGAAGATCTGTGGGGTATCATCACTATTATCATTACTATCATCATCATCATCGTCATTATTACTTTTATTGTCTCCTCTGTCACACTCCTTGCTAGTGTTCCTTTTGTGCATCAGCGGGGCGCAAACCATGCACCTGGAGCATCAGTCACTCATAAGTCAATCACTATGTTCATACACTAAGCACCATCATACTATATTATAATTATTATTGTTGACATACCGTGGTACAATTCATCACTGCCAGCAGTTTAGTTGTTCCTTCTTCCTTCTTGGATTCATCCACAAACTTACCTTCTCCTTCCACTTGGAGAAGATTGGCCTTGATTTTTAAAGAAAGTTCTCCAGAAATGTCTAGGAGGTCATTGACATCTTTGCTATTTTGCACAAGCGAGTACTTGAAGGTGAAATTGTTGACATTAGTTGTTCTGATTGAAATCTGATCACTTTGGAAGATATCGCCGCTTGGTTTGCAATTCTGGGCATCATATGTTCTACCAATGCTCAAGGTAGGAGCGGCGTAGGCTGGAATATCCATTGTACTTTGCTAAAAAAATTCAAAGTGCTGTTACAATATTAGTCTACTCAATTGTTAATTAAACAGGTCTTAAACGATTTGAGCACAACGTGATTTTGTAGAGAATTTTTTTTGAAAATGTTCAGATTTGGCGCCATTTTGACACACATTCGCCTAAGTAACAATCAAGTCGCGCCTCACGGACACCCCGCTATAACGGACACCCCAATAAAAAGGATAGTAGCTAAATCCCGGGCAAACACAAATTACAGATGTTTGACTGAAATAAAATCCCGCTATTACGGACTCTCGCGCAATAATGAAGACGCGAATTCGAAGTCCACACAGGGTCCACCATAAAGGGAGTTGACTGTATTCTTTCGGAAATAAACGAGCTGTGATGAAGATTAAGGATTCGGAAAGATGATTTTAGATACAATTAAACAAGTGTGTATAGTTCTAGAAATATTTCTTTCAGTTCACAATCTGAAACAACTGTTAATTGAAAGGTAAAACATACCCCAAGATTTGTTGCAGCTAGATGCAACCTAAGAAAGGGAGGGATAGCATGCTTGACATCCTGTTTTTCAGTTCCTTGATTTATGTTTCTTTACATCACATATGAGCCTGTCAATTTCGTGATCAACGGAACGGGTCAGCCAAAGATTCCATTTCTTTTTTCAAAACGCAAATCTTTTTCGAAGTTCTTCTGGTGGTATGTATTTTTCAGTCAACCTTATTAATTTTTTTAGGCTATAAAGACATTGAGGAAACAAAGATCATTTGCACAACTTTACCTAATCTTTTTGTTGCTGTGCGGCAAGGTTAGTCTGAAATGTCAGCCGTCTCCACCCCCTGACCCGTGGGGGGCGCGGAGGAGAGGGACGACGTCTCTCTTATTGGTCTTACCATTTGCTTTGTCTGTAGCGATATATCTCTAAATATGTACATGAATTCTTAAAAACGTTGTATTTTTTTATATCTGCGGTATATTGTCATCCTTTCGCCCGAAAAGCGT